ATGATTTATTATACATAAGTTATGCTTGGTCACAAATGAGATCAAAACTAGACCAGAATACCACAAGTTCAGGACAGTAGGCCAGCAGGACTGTTTTGGTTGTAAGGAAGGCCTTTAGTCTCTCAAGTGGTCTCAGCAAGCAGATGGTGATGTCCCAGATTCACTGAGACCTATTGCTAACAGTAGCATACAGTCCAACAACTTGTACCAGTGTCCAAGCCTTCAGCACCCCTTACCTCTGCTCCTCTAGCTTTCATGGGACACAGGATAATTTACTTGGACATCCGCTCCATCTTTTTTCTCTTGTGCTTCAGTCTGCACATTCACTTCCTCCCTTTGACTCTGATGGTACAGGAGGTTCAAGGAAGATGTTGCTAAGGCCAAGAGCTATTTGCATTATCTAATTTACTCACTTTATCTCTAGGCCTTTGTTTGAGATAAATCCCTATAACAGTGCCACATTTTTTTTCTAAATTTAACTTAATGAATGCTTTGATTCTGAAATCTATTTTAGATTCATTCTTCTGTGTCTCAAGCTTGAGTCCTTTGGTAATTTTTCCACTTTGCATTTATTAGGGCTCAATGCCTGCCAGGAATAGTAAAATAATATTTATTTTGTTATGAAAAAATGAAAAGATAGAATGAGTTTTATATATTTTATTCTGCCTATGCAGACATATCTTTAGGGTAATCACTTTTATGTTTATGAAAATTCATGTTGTATTGCAGGTAATATTTTTGAACTATCATAGTATATGTTTGGATCATAATATAATATAAATAATTCAAAATAAGGCCAATGCACTAATTTTTTCTAATTATTTGGAATTCCTTCAGGAGACGTTTTTATTAGCTAAGGACAGTTTAAATATCATCTATCATGAAAGTATTGTGGTAAATGTATGTTCAGTTTAAGAGATTTGTGGGAATATTGTCAGTTTAAGAAATAAATGTGTTTTGACATTGTTTTGGTTTAAATATCTTCCTCTATAGATATAGAAGAAATATAGAAAAATACATTTAGTTGGCATTTGTGAAAGAAATTATTTTCTTCCCTATGCTCTGCAGGCAAAGGACTCAAGATGAAAATAATAATAATAATATGCTTAGGTATTAAAATTTATTAGAATCTGATTACTAATTCAGAGCAAATGAGAACTATATATCATTATTTGTAGCTTGGCATCTTTTATAAGAAAGTCTCATGTAGTGAGTATATTGTTCAGTAAGTGAGTAGTGATTATCGGGAAGATGACTGTGATTTATAAGCTTACTTTCTTCATTTTACTTTACATGTGCCAGACACTGACTCATACAACAGAAAAACAAAACTAGCCTAATTTCCAGAATTTAAACACGTTATTTATCATTGTTGCTCACAACAGAAAGTTATGATGTGTGGAGCTTTGACTATATAGCATATAAGTTTTTTTTTTTTAATTTTCAAAGTGGTAGGCAACCTACTTTATTGAGAAGGTAGAGGGACTGGAGAGATGGCTCAGCCATAAAAAGCTAGGCTCACAACCAAAAATATAAAAGAAGTTAGACGATAAACTCTGGCTTCAGTGTACTCTACCCTGACAGAATTTAAAACTTCTACCCAGATAGAGGAGAAATAATATTAATTTTATTGTAGGAGAAATTATTTTCTTGGAAGTGGCTCCACTTTATCCTAAATATGTCCTCTTTAGATAAGTGTGACATCTCCAGTAACATGCAGAATTTTCTGTCTTCAGTCTTTGTGGAGGAAAAGATCCAATGTGATGAGTAATCAGGGAGCCTGACTACGACCAACTTGCCACTTCTCAGTTTTCCATCAATCGTTCTTGGTAGCTTCAGATATCAAAAGAATTGATTAGATTGCTACATTTTTTTTTCTACATGCAAAGTTAAGTGGAGAGTTTGGCACAATTACTCTGATTGTTGAGAGGCAGTAAAACATAGCTTGGGCCCTGTAGCTAGATTGCATGGATTCTGATCACATTTATACCAGTGTGGTCCTGAGTAATTTATTTAACCTCTCTGGGCTTGGTTTCAACTATAAAACAGGAATGGTAATATTATCTAGAAAATCTAGATAATTCTACGACTCATAGAATTAAATGAATTCATATACATAAATAGAATAGTGTCAAACACATAATAATCTCTGAATAATTGCTAGTTATTACTATGGTTCAGGTAAATGACATTCAAGTTCACATTCTAGGAGTTATTTTCATTGATCAATTAATTTATAATTTATAATTATAATTTAAACATTTAAAAACATTTGGAAACAGTCCACTGAATTCTGTATAATGGAGAGGGAAAATGGGGAGAAATAAACCCATCCTTTCAGAAGAAAGTGTTTTGAAGTTGACAAATGAGTTTATATGTCATTTCTGTTTCTTGCTGTTAAAAGAAATTTGGAATACAATTTAATCATGTAAAGACCCACTTTTCTCATATGCTAACTGAAGGCAATGTTGTCTTGCAGTGCTGTGAGAGTTTATAACATGCATGTAAAATCTTTATTATAATACTTGTGAGCAAGAGGAACGAAGATATAATTTAGCAGTTGGTTCCAATCAGCTTACTGACTGGAATCCTATCTGTTCTACCACTTCCTTTCCCTTGCTCCCCTCCTCCTACATTGTTCTCTTCAGCCAATACTCTTTCTTATCTCTCTTCTGCCACTTCATATAACTGTGGAGGGTATATCCAGAGGGAAAATGTATCAATCTGCTGTTGTACCAGCAGTAAGGATACCTTGGATGTCAATATTGGTCAAAGTCAGTTATTTGAGTGGGCAGAAGCTTCTGACTTACATTTATAGGAGTGGGAGCTCAGGATACCAAATAGAATTGTAAGAGCAAGGTATATTTCCATTTATTTAAAATATTTAATTCTATATTATGTGTACGGGTGGTACGGGTGGTACGGGTGGTACGGGTGGTACGGGTGGTACGGGTGGTACGGGTGGTACGGGTGGTACGGGTGGTAC